AGTTCGAGACCCGAGTGTGCCGCATGACGGAGTGAGCTCCCGTCTCTAGTTCCAGCTCCTGTCAACCTAGCAGTTCGAAAGCAAGAAATTGCAAGTAGATAAATAGGTACCACTTCGGTGGGAAGGGAACAGCGTTCCGTGCGCCTTGGTGTTTAGTCATGCCGACCACATGACCACGGAAACATCTTCGGACAGCGCTGGCTCTTCGGCTTGGAAACGGAGATGAGCACCGCAACCCTAGAGTCAGATTCAACTGGCTTTCGAGCAAGGGAACCTTTACCTTTAACATCTTAGAGCACTTGTTAACGATCCTGTTTTATCGTGTTTTATTCTGTCTATTTATTGGCACAAAGTGCCCTGCCTGTAAGCCGCCCTGAGACCTTTGTGGGGAGGGCGGGGTATACATTTAATAAAATTAAAAAATAAAATAAAATAAATTGGCGTTTTTAGGCCCGAAGCACGGCCATGGTGAGCCTGGCCAACACCAGACACGATCTGGACCTGATGAAAGAGCAGCTGGAGGAGGAACAGGGGGGCAAAGCCGAGCTGCAGCGCCTGGTCTCCAAGCTCAACACCGAAGTCACCACCTGGAGAACCAAATACGAGACTGACGCCATTCAGAGGACGGAGGAGCTGGAAGAGACCAAGTGAGCGGGATTGGAGGGGGGGGGTTTCTGCTAAGAGGGGGGACACGCAGTCCGTGCGGAAGGTCTTGCACTGATTGGGTGCGGGGCGAGAGTCCCCCGGAGAGGGAAGTGTCTTGTTATCACATGTCTGTCCCAAGGGTGCTACCGCCGTTCCCCACAGGAGGAGGATTGCTTCCGGCAGGCTGAGAGCCAGTGTGGTGTAGCGGTTAAGAGCGGTGGACTCTAGTCTGGAGAACTGGGTTTGATTCCCTGCTCCACGTGAAGCCAGTTGGGTGACCTCGGGCCAGTCACAGCTCGCTCACAGCTGTTCTCTCACAGCTCTCTCAGCCCCACCTGCCTCACACGGTGTCTGTTGTGGGGAAAGGAAGGGAAGGAGATTGTAAGCTGCTCTGAGACTCCTTCGGGTAACGAAGGGCGGATTATAAAACCCAAGTCTTTTTCTTCTTCTTCGGTCAGTCACAGTTCTCTCAGAGCTCTCTCAGCCCCACATGCCTCCCAGGGTGTCTGCTGTGGGGAGAGGAAGGGAAGGAGATTGTAAACTGCTCTGAGACGCCGAGTGAATGACGGGGTATAAATCCAATCTCTTCTTCTTCCTCCTCCTCTTCTTCTTCTTCGTTTGATTTCCCAATCCACCACATGCAGCCAGCTGGGTGACCTTAGGTGACCAGCTGTAGGTTGGGAAATGCCTGGAGATTTGGGGGTGGAGCCTAGTGAGGGTGGGGTTAGGGGAGGGGAAGGGGGGGCCTTTGCAGGGATGTGATGCCATAGATAGAATCCACCCCCCATGGCAGCCATTTTCCACAGGGGAACCAGTTTCTGTTGTCTGGGCATCAGTTGTAATTCCAGGAGCTCTCCAGGCCCCACCTAGAGGTTGGCAGCCATACCCAATACACCTGAAAATCACATTTCAGACCAGAAGTCCCACCCAGCGCATGGACTCTGGACAGACCAGGCCACAGTCTAACATGTGAATTTCTGATCCCTTCTGGCAATGTCTGCTGCCCAGCTGCCATAACTGCCCTCAGCTACAAGGCTGACAGTGTTGCCCTCCTTTCTTCTTACAGGAGGAAGTTGGCTTCCCGTCTCCAGGAGGCAGAGGAGACGGCTGAGGCGGCGCAAGCCCGGGCTGCCAGCATGGAGAAAACCAAACAGAGGCTTCAGATGGAAGTGGAAGACCTCACCTTAGATCTTGAGAAGGTGAGGGAGGGGAGTGGCGTCACCCAGCCGGTTATGGAATCTTTTATTGGCTAACCAGAGCGACAGCGCAAACTACCCCGCCCACCCAGAACCTAGTGCTATCGAGCTAGCAGGAATACTTCTACTGCTACTTGTGATGAATTGTTATTAACAGGGGTCATTTCGTAGAAAAAGAGCTAGGGGAACTCATTAGCATATGCCACACCCCCTGACATCACTGGAAGTGTGTCATAAGGCCACACACCCTGACATCACCGGAAGTGTGTCATAAGGCCACACACCCCGCCCCCAACGGTCCCGGCCGCCACCGCCGGCCTTGCAGCTCCACTGCCGAGCCCCATGAGGGAACTTACCCTCCCTCTTCTCCTGCCTCCTCCTGGCTGAATGAGGGCCGGAAGCGGGGCAGCCGGAAGCAGGGGGTGGGGCTTCGTCATGTGCCCCGCCCCCGTACCTCACCCGGGGGAACTGCGATCCCCTACGATCCCCCCGAAATGACCTCTGGTTATTAATGTTTTTATTGTTTTTACCTTGTTTTATATGGGCGTTGCCCCGTGTAAGTCCCCTGAGCCCGCTTTGCGGGGAGGGCGGGGTAAAAATCCCAATAAATAAATAAATACTACTACTACTACTACTTCTATTACTACTACTACTACTACTACTACTAATAGAAGAAGAAGAGAATTATTATTATCGTATGGCATTGTGTGTAGTATTCGCCAGGAGATCCTAAAACTGTCTGGCAGCCAGAACCTCTGGCTCTTTTACCTTTATGCACCACTAGGTGGCGAGCTAGACTTGTTTTTAAGTCAAGAGACATTTCAGAGGCGTTTTTCCGTTGCCTGCCTCTGCCTCATGTCCCTGGTATTCCTTGTTGGTCTCCCATCCAAGTACTAACCAGGGCTGACCCTGCTTAGCTTCCGAGATCTGACGAGATCAAGCTCGCCTGGGCTATCCAGGTCTAGCGGGGAAACTCTGCCGGCCAAGTGAACTGTGAAGAACTGTCTGCGTGCCAGGCAGAAGGGATCCATAGTGGCCGATGGGATTGTACATAATGCACGACTCCTTGGTTCCCTTTCCCCAGGCCAACGCCGCCTGCGCGGTCCTCGACAAGAAGCAGCGGGCCTTCGACAAGATGCTGGCGGAGTGGCAGCAGAAGTGCGAGGAGGTGCAGGTGGAGCTGGACAACTCCCAGAAGGAGTGCCGCATGTACATGACGGAGAACTTCAAGCTCAAGACTGCCTACGAGGAAGCCCTGGAGCACCTGGAGTCCGTCAAGAAAGAGAACAAGACCCTCCAGGGCAAGTATAGCGGGGCGGGGATACGTCTCTCCCGTATGCATCTTAGGGCACACACAACGGTCAGGGCGCTTCAAAAGCCGGGGTTGACTCTGACTAGAACCTTCTCCCGCAATCTCCCTTCAGAGCGGTTGGCGGGAGGGCCGCAGCAACGGCTCCCCCATCCGGCCCTCAGCCGCCAGATTCAATATCTTTGCCTGCCTGTGTTTGCGTCCCCTTCCTTCAGAGGAGATCAAGGATCTGATCGACCAGCTGGGCGAGGGAGGGAGAAGCGTGCACGAGTTGCAGAAGATGAAGAAGAAACTGGAGGTCGAGAAGGATGAGCTGCAGATGGCTCTGGAGGAGGCCGAGTCTTCCCTGGAGGTGACGTTTTTCTGTTCTGTTAGCCCTGATACGTTTAGCGACTCTGCGGGTGCAGTCAGACGGTGGGCTGGGAGTGGTGTAAACCGCTCCGGTTCCAACTGGACGAATTTGATCCGGGGGAAGCGCGATCACACTCACTTCTCACTGCGCAGCACATCGCTCCCCGGCATCCACACTTCAGGCGCTCAGCTACAAGGTCAGCGATAAGGAGCAGCGGGCGCCGAGGGGAATGGAATGCAGGCTCGGCTGGTACACAGGTCAAGCGAGCAAACTGCGACCCATAAACCTTATGGCAGCCTAGCTGACATTTCCAAGCCGGTGTTCCCTCTAAGCTGAGTCAGTGTGAGCCAGCTCACAGTTTCTTAGCCTCCGGCTCACCCATTTTTGTCTTCGCTCAGGAAGGGATGGGGCTCCAGAGCAAACTAATGTATGCAGCAGCCCAATCGCTGGCTCACCACTCTAACGCCGGTAGCTCACAAGGTAGAATTTTTGCTCACAAGACTCCACAGCTTAGAGGGAACATTGTTCCAAGCCCTCTGTTCTGTGTGGTCGCACCCTCGCACATTGGAAGCATCGCACCCACAGTCAGGTCCCACAGCAAGTCACTCTTCACACACGTTTCCTACGAAGCGTTATGCTTTATTAGTGTACAGAACTGGTACCATGTCCACAGGATTATTGTTAGGAATGACTAGAAGGCGGGAACATCCCAATACATATAGCTGGGCAAGGCAACTAGCTAAGCAAATGAACTTCGAGCGTGCGCGTGTGGGAATACCCCCGGCGGGAGATTACATAATGAGCGGGAGAGTCGCAGGGTTTCCCGAGAGCAGAAAGAGTCACACCGAAAGTGAACCGCAAGCCCACCCTAGCTCACAAGGCCAGACTGATAACGGCGTCTAGCTCCCACGGTCTCCCTGGCATGTTCACTGCAAGCTGCTGAGCTGCGAGCAAGCGGGAACGGGGAAGGACCGAAGACATAAAAATGGCAGTTAGCCGACAGATTTAAACCCCTCTTTCGAAAGCCCGCTATTCCAAGCCTCTGCTCGTTTGTTTGCCGACAGGTGGAAGAGAGCAAACTCATCCGCATCCAGCTGGAGTTGGCCCAGGTCAAAGCAGACATCGACAGGAGGATACACGAGAAGGAAGAAGAGTTTGAAGCTACAAGGTACGGAAGGCGGGAGACTCAAATTTATTTTTTTTAAAATATTTTTTATTAATTTTTTAAAGAGAAAGGGAGGGAGGGAGATAAGGGGTGAGGGAGGGTATGCGACAAGGAAGGGGGGGAGATAGTGCTTACAACTACTTCTAGTAACTCCGTTACATTCCATTAACAATTCTACTACTACAATCAATCGTGTTAACTCAGATCACTCAAGTCCAAACATTTCTTAATACCTGTAGCAGAAATTATTGCCTTTACAGTTTATTGCGTTTGGGAGATTCAAACTTGTTTTAGGCCCCCATCTGCACAAGACATACTGGAGAAAGCTTTTTCTGAACAGCTATCTTTGTGTGTGGCCAGATTCAAATCCAGTAGCATGTTAAAGACCAACGAAATGTTGGGGGTATGAGAGTCAGAAAGCTCATACCCCGAAAATCTTGTTAGTCTCTAAGGCAGGAGTGTCAACCATATGGCCCGTGGGCCGGAATCGGCCCATCCAGGGCACTTATCTGGCCCGCGAGCAACTGGTCATTACCAGTGTTTCCTCTACGCTGAATTAGTGTGAGCTAGCTCATCGTTAGCAAGACCCATCCAATGCTGAGGTTCCACGTCACATGACTCAGCCATTCCCACTTTTTAAAAATATTCTTATAATTTTTTATTTATTATTAATTTCAGTGCGAAAACAAACATGTAACAGTGAAACTGTAACCTTCCGGAAAAACCTATCAAACAGAAACTTACTAACACAGAGACAGTCTAATATAAAAATATAGCACTTAAATATAACAACAATCTAAATTATACAATATAATCTCAATATTAATAGTGTCTAATGTACATATGTGATTATTTCACGGTACTTCTGAGGTATAAGTTGCGATTGAACTGAAGAATGTCCAGAAGCATAGTCCAAAAATGGGATCCGTTTGGACAACAAAGTTGGGTCTGTATTTTGGCCTTCAGAGGTATTAATGATATCCGATATTTTGTCCATTACAAAAAATTCCTAAATTTTAACGAGCCAATGTGATGTTGATAATGGGTTGGAGTCTTCCTAGCTGGTGGTGATTACGGTTTTCGCTGCCGGTAATAAGAGGGAAATAAGTTCTTGGCGGAGTTTAGGTACTTGATTGTCTTGCCAAAGAGCCAGTTTGGTGTAGTAGTTAAGGGCGCGGACTCTAATCTGGGAGAACCGGGTTTGATTCCCCACTCCTCCACTTGCACCTGACTGGATGACCTTAAGAACATAAGAACATAGGAGACGCCAATGTTGGATCAGGCCAAAGGCCCATCCAGTCCAACACTCTGTGTCACACAGTGGCCAGAAATACCAGGTGCCATCAGGAGGTCCACCAGTGGGGCCAGGACATTAGAAGCCCTCCCACTGTTGACCCCCCCCCAAGCACCAAGAAGACAGAGCATCACTTGTCCCAGAGCCCCTAGCTATACCTTGTGGCTAATAGCCACTGATGGACCTCTGCTCCATAGGCTTATCTAATTCCCTTTTGAAGCCGTCCATGCTTGTAGCCGCCACCACCTCCTGTGGCAGTGAATTCCATGTGTTAATCACTCTTTGGGTGAAGAAGTACTTCCTTTTATCCATTCTAACTCGCCTGCTCAGCAATTTCATTGAGTGCCCACGAGTTCTTGTATTGTGAGAAAGGGAGAAAAGTACCTCTTTCTCTACCTGCTCTACCCCATGCATAATCTTATAAACCTCAATCATGTCTCCCCTCAGTCGTCGTTTCTCCAAGCTAAAGAGCCCTAAGTGCTTTAACCTTTCCTCTTAGGGAAAGTGTTCCAATCCTTTTATCATTCTAGTTGTCATTTTCTGCACATTTTCCAAAGCTATAATATCCTTTTTGAGGTGTGGTGACCAGAACTGTACACAGTACTCCAAATGAGGTCGCACCATCGATTTATACAAGGGCATTATGATACTGGCTGATTTGTTTTCAATTCCCTTCCTAATAATCCCCAGCATAGCATTGGCCTTTTTTATTGCAGTTGAAAGGATCAGGTAGGAGGTGATGTGAAAGACCTCTGCCTGAGATCCTGGAGAGCTGCTGCTAGTCTTGAGTAGACAATACTGACTGTGATGGACCAAGGGTCTGATTCCAGATAAGGCAGCTTCCTTATCTGGAATCAGACCATGGACCTTGGGCAAGCCATAGCTCTGATAAGAGCTGTCCTTGAAAAAAGAGCAGTTTCTGTCAGAGCTCTCTCAGCCCCACCGACCTCCCAGGGTGTCTGTTGTGGGGAGGGGAAGGGAAAGGAGTCTGTAAGACGCTCTGAGACACCTTTGGGTAGTGAAGGGCAGCGGGGTATAAATCCAATCTCTTCTTCTTCTTCAAGATCCAATAGAACCAGGTCAGGTGACCTATCAGTGTCGTATCCTGTGATATCTTTAATATAACCAAATATCTTTAACCAGTTTAACCCACTTGACTGCATTTGCTTTCTGCCGTAGGAAGAACCACCAGCGCGCCATCGAGTCCCTGCAGTCCAGCCTGGAGATGGAGGCGAAAGGACGTGCCGAGGCCCTCCGCTTGAAGAAGAAGATGGAGACGGACCTGAACGAGATGGAGATCCAGCTGGACCACGCCAACAAGAACAACAGCGAGCTGGTCAAGACGCTGAAGAAGCTGCAGCAGCAGATTAAGGTGTGTGTGTGTGGGGGCAGATTCACAGGGAAACAGGGCGGGGGGGGACCACGGCAAAGGAAGTCAGCGCCCGAGAGAAACTCTCACTGCCCAGGACAAGGCAGAGGGACAGGGTCCTGCTAACTGTTCTCCTGAGAGCCAGTTTGGTGCAGTGGTTAAGTGCGCGGGCTCTAATCTGGGAGAACCGGGTTTGATTCCCCACTCATCCACTTGCAGCTGCTGGATGACCTTGGGCAAGCCATAGTTCTGGCATGAGCTGTCCTTGAAAAAGAGCCGTTTCTGTCAGAGCTTTCTTAGCCCTGCCTACCTCACAGGGTATCAGTTGTGGGGAGGGGAAGGGAAAGGAAATTGTAAGCTGCTCTGAGTGAAGGGCGGGGTATAATTCTTCTTCTTCTTCTTTGAAGCAGGGGTGACTTAAGAGGGTGGGCAAGGCCAGGCCACCTTCAGAGGGTGGTAAAGTCAGGACGCTTGCTTGTGGCAGCAAAATGAGCCCCCCCCCCCGGATACACGGTACAATTCGCTCCCCACTGCCAGAGAATAGGCGGTGGAGTCACTCAGTCACCTGACAAGCATTGGCCGTACGCCACTCTCACCCTTTGCGCCCACAGGACGTTCAGACGCAGATGGACGAGGACGCCCGTCAGCACGAGGAGCTCCGCGAGCAGTACAACCTCCAGGAGCGCCGGCTCAGCCTCCTGCAGACCGAGCTGGAGGAAGTCCGCACCGGCTTGGAGGGCAGCGAGCGCTCGCGCAAGCTCATCGAGCAGGAGCTGGTGGACGTCACCGAGAGGCAAAACGAGCTTAGCATTCAGGTGATAACTACGGGTGGTCGGTCTCCCTCTCCGGGATTAGTAGACACTGGTTCAGGTGTAGCGCATTGAACTTGGCGGCAAAGCTAAAGAAACCTCGGCTGCGTCGGCGCTAGGGCCCTCTTCCGCTGCGCCGGCGCTAGGGCGCCCCTTTTTCTTGCAGCTGGTTGCAAGGCAGAATTAAAACTGTGGTTTCGATGACCCCTAAAAAAACCCCTACCGGGTGCTTTCCCCGCAGGAACGTTCCTGCTCTGGGTCTACTCCGAAGTTCAATCCCGTTCTGTAAAAGTTCTTCTCCCTGCAGTTTCCCTTGGTAACATTCCGCTCCCCTTTGCAGAACCAAACCCTGCTGGTGATCAAGCGCAAGCTGGAGTCCGACCTCCAGCGCATCACCAACGAACACGAGGAGATCATCAGTGAGTTCCGAGCAGCGGACGAGAGAGCAAAGAAAGCCGTGACTGACGTGAGTTCCGTCCGCGGGTTCGGCGCGGGGCCTTGGGATACACTGGAGACCCTTTCCAGACAGGGATGAAGGGGCCGTAGCTCAGTGGTAGAGCATCTGCTTGGCATGCAGAAGGCCCAGGTCCAATCCCTGGCATCTCCCGTTAAAAGGACCAGGTCTTAGGTGATGTGGATGTCCTTGAGCTGAGACCCTGGAGAGCTGCTGCCAGTCTGTGTAGACAATACCTACCTCAATAGACGAAGGGTCTGACTCAGTATAAGGCAGCTTTTCACGTGCTTCTAGTGATACATTTTAGAATGAGCTGCCCCTAGATTGTTGATGTTACAGGAAAGTCTTTGTGCCCAAAGGGATACAAACTGGCCAGCACCTTTTTATATACCCAATACTGTGAAATTAAAGACCAAAGAATCGCCTCCAAAAATTCTACGCATTACTATCAGGGTTGGGAATACCCTGCGCAAAGTGAAACAGAATGGCGTCGAGGTAATCTAGAGACTGCGATGCCATCCCTGACTCCCACGACCCGCACGAATGATGTACTCTCTCTTATTTTGCCTCATATTAGCAAATTTTCAGAATATTTTTGTCTGTGTAATTTAGCAAAGAAACGACAGAAGTCACTAAAGGCCTTCCCCCAAATCACCGGGAATCTTGTTTTACAGTTTGGTGTAGTGGTTAAGAGCAGCGGACTCTAATCTGGGAGAACCCAGTTTGATTTCCCACTCCTCCACAAGCAGCTGCTGGTGTGACCTTGGGTCAGTCACAAGTTCTCTCAGAGCTGTCCTCTCAAGAGCAGTTCTCAAAAGAGCTCTCTCAGCCCCACCAACCTCACAGGGTGTTGTGGGGAGAGGAAGGGAAAGGAGATTGGAAGCTGCTCTGAGACTCCGAGTGAAGGGCAGGGCATAAATCCAACTCTTCTTCTTCATCCTTCCGGCTCTTGACATTTTGGCAAGCCATCTTTGAACCTTTTCAAGCATACTTACAGAGCCCCGAGGGCTAGAAACTTGCTTTTAAAATGTTCCCTAAAGTTCTCGGGAAGACGAATTCTGTCTCCTATCTCTGCACTTTTCCCGCTCTCTTGCAAAAAATGGCCGTGTTGGTCATGACACGACAAGCCTTAATGCTCTGAAAGTGTTTGATGTTCCTTGTGAATAATCATGTCTTGACCGTCTTTATTCCCCTCCCCCTTCCCCCCAATTTCAGGCGACGCGGATGGCAGAGGAACTGCGCCAGGAACAGGATCACTCCATGCACCTGGAGAAGATTAAGAAGAACTACGAGGTCACCATAAAGGATCTGCAAGTCAAGATCGAGGAAGCGGAGCAACAGGCCCTGAAAGGAGGGAAACGCACCATCATGAAGCTGGAAACCAAAGTGAGAAGGACATCTTTCCCTTCATTCTCTTCTCCGGCAGAAACACCGGTCACTCCCCCCACTTTCGAGAGCATTCAAAAAGACATTCAGTGGCCAAAATTGTGTCCCGTTAATCAACACCCTTACACCCCCCCCCCCCCCCCCCCCCAGGCTACAAGCAGACCATAAAAACAGCTTCAAAAACCGGAACCTCTCAGCCAAAAGTCTGAGTAAATAGAAACATTTTGGCCTGGTGCCTAAAAGCCAATAAGGCACCAGGAAAGCCTCAAGGCCGTTCCGAAGGCGAGGGGCCAACACTGAAAAAGCCCTGTGTTTGCCACCCTCCTCACCTCTGTAGGTGGAGGTACAGAATGCTGAACTCAGGATCATCTGGGTATCCTTATCTCCGTATCTCGGGTAAAGACAGGGTGAACTGCTTTCTTAAATCCTTAAGGAAATAGTCCCATTTTAAGCCCTTCCTTCATTCCTCCCTCCCTCCCTCCCCCCCCCCCCCACCTCCCCCAACCATATTCCCCATCATATTCTCCAGTGACCTCCTGTCTGTCTTACTTCCCAGCAGGGGTCATTTCGTAGAAAAAGAGGTTATGCTCATTAGCATAACTCATTTGCATATGCCACACCCCCTGACCTCACCGGAAGTGTGTCAGAAGGCCACACCCACCGCTCAGGCTCCACTGGACTCTTTTGGATTGCTAGCTATTGGGGGGGATGTGCAGATCTGCCCTCACAGAGGAGGGAGAGCTTGTACCTGAATAAAACTTGGGCTTAAAGGTGCCACTGGACTGTTTTGGACCGGGCCGGGGGGAGCTCTGCAACTTACCTGTCTGCTTCTTGCTCTGACTGAGGGCAGTTGGGAGCAGGGGGCGGGGCTTGTTGCATGTGCCCGCCCCCCGGGCTCTTTACTGCCGGAGCTCCGCTCCTGTGCGCTCCGGCCGGATATGAACCCTGCTTCCCAGCATCTGACCCTCTCCGTCTCCCTTTTTGCTTTCAGATTAAGGAACTGGAGACTGAGCTGGACTCCGAGCAGAAGCGGCACGTGGAGACGGTGAAAGTCCTGCACAAGAACGAGCGGCGCCTGAAGGAGCTGGTCTTCCAGACCGAGGAGGACCACAAGACCAACCAGCGCATGCAAGAGCTAGTAGAGAAGCTGCAGAACAAGCTGAAGACGTACAAGAGGCAGATCGACGAGGCCGTAAGTATCTCTTTGCTTCGGCACCGGGCGGGGTCCCCAACGTGGTGCCCCGGGGCGCCACAGTGCCCGTCAGTACCTCACGTGTTGCCCACTAAGCGTTTTCAGAAAGTGGGTGGGGCTCCTGCCCAGCACAGCTTCTGATTGGCCACGGGAGATCTGATGGGCTGTGCAGACTGAAATAACGTCACCTTGGCGGCAGCTGCCACCAACATTGGTTTTATTCTTCCTCTCCCTCCCGTTTCCCAGGATGTTTTTTAAAATTACCTTTTCCCCTTCATTTGGACTCCCCCTGGGTGTGTGCATGGCTCCGCCTCCTTTGGCAGCCATTTTGTGGCTGCACCCACCACCAATGCTCCCTCTAAGCTGTGGAGTCTTGTGAGCAAGAATTCTACTTTGTGAGCTCCTGGCATTAAAGTTGTGAGCGAGCGATTTGGCTGCTGCATAAATTAGTTTGCTCTGGAGCCATCCCTTCCTGAGCCAAGACGAAAATGGATGAGCCAGAGGCTAAAATACTGTGAGCTAGCTCACACTAACTCAGCTTAGAGGGAACACTGCCCACCACCCCATGTCAGAATTCCAAATGTGCCCGCAGGGTCAAAAAGGTTGTGCTTTAGAGCCTCCCCACAACAATCATACCCAGGATCAGTTGGCGCTCTGTGTGGATTACACCCTCCCATTCATTCTAGTGGGGATCATGGAGAACATCCATGTCAGTCGTGTCCCTGGATTAGATCCGCCTGCGGGGAGAGCCAGCGTGGTCTAGTGGTTAAGAGCGGCGGACTCTAATCTGGAGAACTGGGTTTGATTCCCCATTCCTCCACCGGCAACCAGCTGGGTGACCTTGGGTCAGTCACAGCTCTCTCAGCCCCCCAAACAAGTCTAGCTCGCCACCTAGTGGTGCAAAAGCGCTAAAAGAGCTAGAACTTCAGGCTGCCAAACAATCTTAGGATCTCCTGGCTATACTACCCACACTGCCATATGATAATTATTAATTATTAGATCCGCCTGTCTCCTTCTCTACCTTAGAGCCACACCTGAGGCTGCTGTCTCACCTTGCCGCATGGCAAGGCTGCTTTGTGGCATCAGGTACCAGTTCAATAGATGCCAACCACCCAGCACACCGACTGAGAAAACCATCAGTAACATACCCGGTTATTACATGTAGCTACACTCCTGAGCCTCCGTAATGTTCTGCCCAAGGCCTGTGGGGATCCTCGCCAAACCCATTCCTTTCAGGCCTGAGATCTTTGACCTGTTGCCAGCTGCACGAAACTGTTCATCTTTCTAACCATTCTGCTGGTTTCCATTTCTGTCGGAGATGTAAGAGTCTTGCTTAAATTAAGGAGGTTCCATTTTGCTTTCTTCCAGCAGAGGTTTGGAGAAGCGGTTAACATGACCATACGTCTGTCTTCCTCAGAATGCCCTCTGTCTTCCCCATGCACCCTCTGTCTTCTCCTGAACGTCCCCTGTCTTCTTCTGAATGCCCCCCGTCTTCCCCTCGGAATGCCCCGTCTTTCCCTTGGAAGCATAGGTTTGGAGAAGTGGTTAACATGCCCATACGTCTGTCTTCCTCAGAATGCCCTCTGTCTTCCCCATGCACCCTCTGTCTTCTCCTGAACGTCCCCTGTCTTCTTCTGAATGCCCCCCGTCTTCCCCTCGGAATGCCCCGTCTTTCCCTTGGAAGCATAGGTTTGGAGAAGTGGTTAACATGACCGTACATCTGTCTTCCCCTTGGAAGCGTAAGTTTGGAGAAGCGGTTAACATGACCATGCGTCTGTCTTCCCCATGCACCCTCTGTCTTCCCCTGAATGTCCTGTCTTCTCCTGAACGCCCCGTCTTCTTCTGAACGCCCCCTGTCTTCCCCTCAGAATGCCCCGTCTTTCCCTTGGAAGCATAGGTTTGGAGAAGTGGTTAACATGACCGTACATCTGTCTTCCCCTTGGAATGCCCTCTGTCTTCCCTTCTACCTGTAGCCTGGCACTGACCCTTTTTTGCTCAAGCAATGCTCTTCTGATTTTAACTCTTTGTAGGAGGAGCAGGCTAACCAGAGCATGGCGAGGTACCGCAAAACCGTGCACGAGCTGGATGATGCCGAGGAGAGGGCCGGAATGGCCGAGTCGGCGCTGAACAAAATGCGCACCAGGCACCGGGTGTCAGCCGGCAAAGCGTTCACCTCGGTGGAAATCATCCAGGTCTCCAAGTCTTCCGCTTCCAAGTCGGCAGCGGAGGAATAGAGCCTGCCCTGGAACCCGCTGCCGGTAGGTGTGAGGTTTCTTCCCTTGCCTTTCAGGAGGCCGGGGAGCAGAGGCTCACTGCCGTGGAGAAATAACGCAGTGCTCGTTTCTAAAAAGAGCGCTTTGCATTAATTATCGGAACCAGTTTGGTGTAGGTGGCTAGGAGCACGGATCTGAGAGAACTGGGTTTGATTCTCCGCTCCTCCACATGCAGCTGCTGGTGTGGCCTTGGGTCAGTCACAAGTTCTTTCAGGGCTGTTCTCTCAAAGGCAGCTCTCAGAAGAGCTCCCTCAGCCCCGCCTACCTCCCAGGGTGTCTGTGGTGGGGAGGGGAAGGGAAAGGAAGGGCGGGGTATAAATCCTCCCCCTTCTTCTCTTCTTCAAGCAGCATCTCGATGAACACTTGTCAGGGACGCTTCAGGCTGATCCTGCATCTAGCAAGGGCATTGGACTAGATCAGGGGTGTCGAACATGTGGCCCGGGGGCCGGATGAGGCCCCCAGAGGGCTTCTGTCAGGCCCGCAGTAGAACTGGCTGTCTTCTGAGAGCCAGTTTGGTGTAGTGGTTAAGTGTGAGGACTCTAATCTGGGAGAACCGGGTTTGATTCCCCACTCCTCCACTTGCACCTGCTGATGTGACGTTGGCCTCACCGGGTGTCTGTTGTGGGGAGGGGAAGGGAACGGAGTTTGTAAGCCGCTCTGAGACTCCAAGTGAAGGGCGGGATGTAAATCCAATCTCTTCTTTTTCTCTTCTTCTTCTTCCTGATTTTTCTTCCAGTTCTGCTGCTGCTGCATCATTGTAGGTTTGCAGCTTACAGGTACACACCTGAACAACATACTCAGGATTGCAACAGCACAGGACATTTTGATGCAACAATTCAGAGCAAGAGGTCTCAGTGATCAGGCACTGTTAAATAAACAAAATATTGCCTTAAGCATATTTTGATTTTAAGTAAAAAAAAACCTTTGTGTTTGTGTCCTTTATGAAGTTTATATCTCCGCTACCTGGCGTTACCTTTTACGACACACCCGGCCCGGCCCAACAAGGTCTCGTTTACATCAGACCCGGCCCTCATAACAAATGAGTTCGACACCCCTGGACTAGATGGCCTGTATGGCCACTTCCGACTCTATGATCTGTGACTTTCTTGGCTGCCGCGTGCGGCATTTTCTCTCTTCGCTCCGCACTCATCCCTCCTCGAACTGGTGCCCCTCCACTGTCGTATGCGGGCTCTGTTTGCTCTCCGCTTGTCCACCTCGTCCCAGTCTCCCCACCCACCGCCTCCCCAGTTTAACCCTTTGCTCTCCGTTCACAGGGGGATAGACAAAGCCTCCGCCGGCACGCGGCCCCTTTGCAAGATAGCCACCGTAGTGATGACCGGAGCAGCCCAAGCCAATCGAAAAGACACCTGCGTAGAAGGAGACGGAAGGAAGGCCGGACGAGGAAAGCATCCGCCTCTGGGTGGGGTGGGGAGGAGAAATCTAAGTATCTGCAACATACAAGAGCTCAGCTCTCCCCACCGTCCTCCCCGGAGCGTATTTTGTTTACTGCTGAGGGTTGTACAGACACGTTTTCTCCGTTGGAACTGAGTATCTGTGTTTCTTTTCTAAACGCAGTCTGTTTGCGTTTTCATGTCAAGGACGGAAAACGCCGCGAAAGGGTTCCCTTGAGCTGTCTCTTGTAAATACCTCTCTCCCGCAAATAGTCCGAGCGCATAGTCTTAATAAAGCTTTTATCACACCGAAAAGGAACTTGGGCAAAGTTGATTCTTTTGTCGCGGGCCGCTACAGAGAACGAAAAGGAGCGCAGCCGTGTTTCCCGTAACTTCTTTCACTGCCCGCTCTCACTGACTACTCTAGACAGGGGACATTTCCTGCGGGAGCGCACAGGAGTGGAGCTCCGGCAGTAAGGAACCCAGGGGGCAGGCACATGCAACAAGCCCCACTCCTTGCTCCCAGCAGCCCTCAGTCAGACTCAGGCCACGAGGAGCAAGAAGCAGCCAGGTAAGTTGCAGAGCCTCCCCCTGGATTGCCTTCAGGTACAAGCTCTCCCTCCTCTGTGAGGGCAGATCTGCGCGTTCCCCCCCTCCCCATAGCTAGCAATCTAAAACAGTCCAGTGGCACCTTTAAGACCAAGTTCTATTCAGGTACAAGCTCTCCCTCCTCTGTGAGGGCAGATCTGCACGTTTCCCAATAGCTAGCAATCCAAAACAGTCCAGTGGAGCCTGAGCGGTGGGTGTTGCCTTCTGACATACTTCCGGTGAGGTCAGGGGGTGTGGCCTATGCAAATAAGTTATGCTAATGAGCTCCTGCACCTCTTTTTCTACAAAATGACCCCTGACTCTAGGGCAGGTCAAAAGTCTATGGTTACAATCCTCCAGGTAGAATCAGACTTCAGAGGTCAGATCTCCTGGAGAAAATGACTGATATTGCGGGTGGATTCCATGGCATTATACCCACACCGAGGTCCCTCCCCAAACCCTGTCCTCCCCAGGCACCTGTGTGACCAACAGAATTTAATTCTGGGTATGAGCTTCCATCTCGAGTTGCGGTGGCTCAGAGGTTAAGATGCTGAGCAGCAGACTGGAAGGTTGGTAGTTCTCCTAGTGCCACAGGTGAGCTCCCGTCTCTGGCCCCAGCTCCTGCCAACCTAGCATTTAGGAAGGAAGAAATTGCAAGTAGATAAATAGGTACCACTTTAGACGGGACGGCAAAGGATGAGATGGTTAGACAGTGTCATAGATGCAATGAACATGAAATTGAGCAAACTTCAGAGGACGGCAGAAGACAGGAAGGCCTGGCGTGATCTGGTCCATGGGGTCACGGAGAGTCAGATAATTCTTTGAGAGGTCAGTGTGGTGTCGTGGGCCGAGGGAGGGACTAGGACCCTTGGGCGACCTGAGTTTGAATCCCTACTCTGCCACGGAAGCTCGCTGGATCTGCACAAACTCTGAGCCTGGCCTACCTTACAGGGTTGTTGTGAGAAAAATGTCCTAAGCCAGTTTGAGTCCCAACTGTGGGGAGAAAAAGGGGATCTAAAGAAAAGCAAACCAACCTGTGAAGCCTCGGGATGTAGTCCACTGTGAAGCGGAATCCTATGCAAAACACCTCCCGTCAAAGCCCATTGAATTCAACAGGCTTCAACTGGAATAACCCCACATAGGATTGCATTGTCCGCCTCCAAATTCCTGTTGTGCGTGTGCGTGCCTACGGTAAAGCTGGCTCTGCGGCGTCCCCCTCCCCCAGCCGCAAAAGACAGTTGATAAAGCTGTTCTTACACGCAATGGCATTCCAGTTGGGCAATTTTCAACTGACCTAGTTGCAGAGCTCTTAATCTACAGAGCAAACTGGCGCAGACAGAGGGCAGAGGCCGTCTTTCACCCGCGTCCTTCCGTGGCCAGCTGGCGCGGGGTTTCTCGTGGCAAATCAGGTGGCCATCGTATGCACCCTTTTGTAGGAGACAGTTCCATGCAACACAACGGGACTCTCGCCTGAATGAATGTATGTAGGCTCAAGGCTTTTGAACAGAGCCACCCACACAAGATTTGGGGAATTTACACCCCTGTTGGTCCTTTTCACTCAAGCGACAGCTCTGTTCCTAACAGCAGCCGCTGAATTCTGTGGGAGAAAGTTACCGGGGAGTACCTAGATAATTTTTCATCTTTGTCTCATCACAAGCTACTTTTACACCTTTTTATTTGACAGATTTCCAACGCTTACCTTTGCTGCTGCGAGATTTTCCCATCGGTTTAGTGTGGTGTCTAGAGACAATGCTACTTAACAGATGCGTTTTTGACAGGCTTCCTCGGGAGGTGGCGGGCTCTCCTTCTTTGGAGGTTTCCAAACAGAGGCTAGATGGCCACCGGACAGCAATGCTGATTCTGTGAACTTAGGCAGATCACGAGAAGGGAGGGTTGCCTCAGTGCTTAGTTCTCGTGGCCAGTGTTCCCTCTAAGCTGAGTTTGTGTGAGCTAGCTCAAAGTTTTTTAGCCTCTGGCTCACATATTTTTGTCTTAGCTCAGGAAGGAGGGCTCCAGAGCAAACTAATTTATGGTGCAGCCAAGTCGCTCGCTCCCAACTTTAATGCCAGGAGCTCACAAAGTAGAATTTTTGCTCACAAGACTCCACAGCTTAGAGGGAGCATTGCGTGGCCCCTTCTTACACGTCCCGGGAAATGCCGATCACCACTTTGGGGTCAAGAAGCAATTTTTCTCCAGGCCAGTTTGGCTGGAGATCCTGGAGGCATCTTGTCATCTTCTGGGCATGGAACAGCAGTCACTTGGGGGTGTGCAGTGGGGGGAGGTATTTGTGAATTTCCTGCATTCTGCATGGGGTTGGACTAGATGACCCTGGAGGTCCCTTCCAACTCTATGATTCTGTGAATTCAGCTCTGAAGTATCTGGAAGTTCTCCTTTCCTTTCTATCTGGTAAACCGCTGGAAACAATCATTTCACATTTTAGAGAGCCAATGTGGAGCAGCGGTTAGTGTTGGGCTAGGGTCTGGGGAACCCAGCTTCGAACTCTGCCATGGAAGCTCACCAGCTGACCTTGGGCTAGTCATAAACACGTTCAACCCAACCTACCTCACAGGGTTGTTGTGAGGATGAAACGCACAGGAGAAATATGCTAGCTGCTTTGGGTCCCTATTGGGGAGAGGTAAAGGGTGGGCGCAGTGTTCCATCAGCAAAAACATTCCAATATCCCTTGCATCCCTAGCTGTCATTTCTGAGTGCACTCCTAAATCTCACAAGGTTGTATGTTTTTCCAAAAACACACACATTTGCAATGCGCAGGATCAGACACGTTTCCTGGCCCAGCCCTGCAAACTTTCCTCCGGTCCCTGCCGCTTATCCGCACAGCCTTTCCCCTTCTCCAAACGCGGCCATCCTTCCCTGCGCTTTGACACAGACCGGTATCTTCTTCGCCACTACCAGCCCGCGCAGGCGCACGGCGTCGATTTCGCCCCCGATCCGCCCGTCCCCCATCCGCGCACGCGCAGCGAGAGGCGCGGCGGCCCCGTTCCCACGCTCGCATTTCGCGCAGGCGCGCCACGGCCCCCCCGCAGGGCTCGCCCCTCCTTCCCAAAAGCGCGTCGGCGCCCGCTGAAGATCATCATCTCGGGCGAAGAGGCGGGCCTGACCGTTGGGACGCCGCCGCCGCCGCGCCTGCGCAGCGAGGCGCGAGCGGCCCGGCGCGCGGGGCAGGCCGGCCGGCGCGCACGCGCAGTGGCTCCCCTCCCCTCCCACAGAGCCGGGCCCAGTCTGACGGCCGCGCCTCGGTCGCTTCCCCTCAGAGCCCCGCTTGAGGCGGAGTCGCGTTGACTGCCCAGAG